TAGCCATTATTTTATATTAATACTTGAATGAATGAGTAAATCAGTGTTCAAAAAATCACATGAAACAACATGAATGATTTCATCTTATGTTATAGGCTAGTTCTCCGGCCTTCTTGGCATGCCTTCGTGGTGTGGTGGTCTGCACGCTGCGCGTATTCCAGAGGTCCGCGGTTCGATTTTCGGCGAAGGCGTTGTTAATTTTTCATCTTGCCCTGCTTCCAAAAAAATACCTAATGTCTCTACAATGTAACTTATAAATAAGTGATTTAATCTTATTATTTAACTATTAAATCTTGTTATTTATTTAACTTTTCAAAAGTTAAATAAAATTTCGAAATATGAGATTTTAGCTTATACATTTTAAAATTATTTTAATTTATTAAGAATCATTATAACTCTAAGTGTATAAAATACAATCAGGATCTTATTATTCGGCTATTTGGAATTTTAATGGAATAGTTACTGTTACGCTTTGTGTGCGACTTTTGACCATCTGATAATTTGATCATTTTTGAGCAATGATAAAGCGCTTTTGTTTAAAAAATTGTAATGATGTGAATTGATTGTACTTCCTCTTAGGAATGTTATTTTCCGCTTAGTTTTGAAGCAATGTGCTATGAGATTATAATGTGGCATAAAATCATAAGGAACACGCAAATGCAAAATTCGTTAAAGAAAAACAAAAGTATTCGTGGAACGCGATAAAACGAGATATACCTGTACTATTATCGATCCTATGATCCCATGAAGTATGATCTTCGTACTATTATGGATATTTAGTTTCAAAATGCAGTTTTTTGCTTATCTGCCCGATGTTTTAAAGAATTAATTACGGCAAACCCCATCCTCCCTGTGTCTCTCTACCTTCATCCAAGTTTTGACAGTTACCATGGCAATATGAAAGCGAATCTCTTCCCTGAGCAGAAAATGACACTGATCCTCACTGCGAGCGGATTATGAACCACTCTGGCGCTCGTAATTACCTTTCAAAATCTTCTTGTGCCGATTAAACCTTTCGAGGGCCTTCCCATACAATCAGAAAACTCCCGCTTAATGGAAGCGACAGTGTGAAAAATTTGGGGAATAGCTTCCATTCGTTTCGCAGATTTAAATGCTTTGTCTTTGAAAACGTGATAGAAATTTTCTCCCAAAACTTCGCGCGTGGCCCGTATTCTATTCTTAGGCTTTAGCATAGCATCCTTTATAATCGGATGACAGGGCGGTCAGTATTCGCTGCATGACGAGCTGAAATGGACAGGTGAATGAACAATAAGGTCACGTGTTTATCCTGAAATTAAATTAGTTTATACTGATAACTTAAAATGATATAAGACATCTTAGATTTTGCAAATGAAGTCGCTGAACACTGTTAGTTCGGTCTGAGGTTCGAATCCCGCGAACGGGCTGGCTGCGTGGGTGTTTTCGTGGTTTTCCATGTGTAACGTGTATACGAGCCAGTTTCCCTTAGAAAGTCCTCCACGAAGGCATCCCTCCCCTTAGGCAGATAGCCCTCGAGGCTTTGCCATAATTATACACACACACAGATTTTGCAAAACAATGCCAGTACTTCAACTATATATTGTAAATATTCCCGGATTTAGTAAATTATCAATGTGTAATTTGCTGGTTTCGTTACATGTAGTCATGGGGATTTTTGTTACATGTAGTCATGGTGATATTTTTGTCAAATGAGAATACAGACATATTGAGTAATGAATAGCGGTATATTCTAGATATACACTTTTTAGATAGAACGAAGGTGCATAATTTGGTTTAGTTTATTTAATTATGACAAAGCACTTGACGGCTACCCGCCTAAAGGGAGGGATGCTTTCAAGGAGGACTTTCTAAGGGCAAATAGCTCGTGTACACTTTACACATAGAAAAAACCATGAAAATGCCCATGCAGTCAGCCCGTTCTCGGGATTCCAACCTCGGACCGAACTACCAGCATTCAGCAACTTTACCACTCGATCGCTGGAGGCCCGCCGGTGCATACAAAGGATTGGTTTCAAAAGAATGGTTATTATTGCCACTGCATTTCGCACTTGAAAAATGGGCAGTTCATTTAAATAATCTATAACATTTTAAAGGAATCCGTTTAAAACATGAAGGAAGGCTTAACTATATCAAGTGAATATTTTGACCGAGGAAAGAGTGATCTGATAACAAGTAATTGAATAAATGAATCCAATGTTCAATATGCATCTGGGAAAAAATTAAATAGTAACCTAAGTATAAATATGAAATAAAATCGATCGAATTTTTCTTGAATTCTACGAGGAAATGAGAACAAATGCAGGAAAGACTAATGTGTTTCGACAAAAGATAATTTGTGGTCAACAGGTGAAATCTATACGATAATCATGCAATATAATATTGATGAGGTGTGCGAACAGTTTAAAATGCAGTGGATAAAGTGCGAACAATCGATAAAGGGAAAGGAAAATTTCTTAAATAAACTACAGAGACGATTATTATTATTATTATTATTATTATTTTAGAATGTAATTGTTTTTGAGTGCTAAATTCTTTTGTTATTTTGTAAAATGATGAATAAAATAGGAAGTTCAAAGATGTGAGCCTAAGCAAATGCGGGAATTCTATCCACAAAACTATACAGAAGAGTTACAGACAACTATACAGATGTCTTGCTGATTCGATAAAAAAGTAGATTATTGTTTTTTCGTGTTTGAAACATTGGCACTCTGAATATGAAAAAATTATAAAAGAAATTAAAGTACTCAACCCGAAATTTTAGTGTTTTTTACTCGTTGATGTAACATACGGAGAAGAAGAAACAGAAAATATTTTTGAAAGGTTCCACGTAAATGAACGAGAACTTTAAGGGAATTGAGAGTTTTTAAAGACTCTAAAGGAATATAAATAAATTCTGTGTTACGGAAACTTTTGTAATCGTAAATTGTATACCTGTTTCTACTGCTGTGTAAAAGAGAGGATTTTCCACAATAAACTTAATTTGCAAGCCGCACATCTCTTCATGTTAAAAGTTTTTCCGTTTTTTAATGTTCATTAGACTTGTCGTCCCTTCACTCGAAAACTTTCAGCCAGCAACTTATGTACATTCGTGGCTAGCAACAAATCAGAGCACAGTGGATAGTCAGTCAAAATAGAGAAAAGAGCAACTAGGAGATAGGGATTTGACTGCATTGTGGAAAATATTTCAGTAACTTTTTTCATAAATGGTTAGCACGAAAGTGATTGATTAACAGTATTAAAAAATGAACCTGAAGCAGTTTGAAACTTATTAATAACTCAGTTTAACAAAACGTCAAACTAATTTATTTGAAAATTCTGAATACTGACTGTATTAAAAAATTATTTTTTTAATAATCCATTGTTATTTTTATTCATTGTAAAAGGATATAAAGTTGCTCTGTTAGCATATTGTGTTTATATTTCATATTTCTAGCATTTATTATTAACAGTTTAGGAAAAATTGCTTAATATGTGTGAAAAAATAACACTACATTAATATTAATATTCACATAATCTATACACAATTTTATTGCGTTTTTTTACTTTTGTGGTTTAATTAGTATAATTTCTCATACATGTTTTAAACACTTAAAAAAATAGGAAGTTGAAATATATTAACAAAAATGTCATTTATGTTAATATATTTCAACAGTTATTCATATTTATAAAATTTAACCTTTCTTTGATTTATGCTCTAAGAAAAGAACAACTGCACTTCGTGTGGCTTTAGCTCCTGCAATTGTTATGCGTTTTGTAAGGGATTACTGAAAGATGGATTGACACAACGTTTGTATCGAAGACCGGGACACGTAACATTTACGTTTCACTAAACGGCTTACGTTCGGTATCAACAAAAGGCTTTGAAAAGTAATTATAAGTTTATTTAAAAGTTCATTGAATTTGCAATTTAAACATTTCTATAATATTAGTTAATATACTTTCTTTTGTTATAATATATGTTTAATTAATTTTTTTCTCTAAAATGTATAATAACTCATTAAGCATATGAAGGTTATATGAAATAAATCCCGTGTTTTAATTTTTTACCTATCTTCTAATTTCAAGATTTTAAAAGAATAAATGAAAGATAAAAATGGATCATTTATTACTCTATATGTAATAAAATTTTTACAATAATTAATTTACAATTTTTATATTTATGTTGTTATGCTACTAGAAATTAAAAAAATACTTCCAGGATTATATTAATAATTTTTGATTATTTTTTTGAATCCCGTTAATCAGTATTAAAGTCATATATGCATTACAAGTACTGAAATTAAAATATTTTCTGTTTTGCAAAATTAAACAGGGAAACGGGATTTTTAAGGAATTCAGTTTTTTTCTTCAAACTTTCATCAAAGTATTTTTGATCTACCTCTTCAGAAGGCATTGCAACCTAAAGGTAATTAGCCGAGAGTATACTTGATGTAATTAATTAAAAGAAAATTGTTTTTTCTATTACTCGTATTTATTTTAGACTTTTAACTCATGTTGTTAACTGTAAATGTTTTTGTTAGCATAGCATAAGATATATGAAGAGTGCTTGGAAAGTGCTGGGAAACATTTTCTTTGATATTCAACTAATCGTACCTATATCGCAAAAGCACAATTTTTAAGAATTGCCATTATTCTTGCTCCTATTATTTTTATTTCACATTTATCAGCTTTTTTAGCTAAAGTTTTATGCATCATTTTTACATTTTTTTTAATGTTGTTAGGCATAAAAAATTTAAAACACTATTCATTTAATCCCAGCTCCACTAATAGATCTACAACAATATGAGAATGACTAATATGAGTTCGTAATTTTTAAAATATAAATAGCAATTTCTGCATATAGCTGTTACATAAAACAGCTGAATTGTTAATATATGAACATGTATGTTACATGAGTAATAAATCATAAACACAATACAATATGTACATAATTTTAATTCACATTAGATAACATTAGATACATACAAGCATTTCATCACAGTAACAATGACAATGTTGAAACAAAACTTAGTTTTTTGCAGAATAGGTATTTGCACTTTGGACAGGTATTATCTTACGTACTCAGTTTAGAAGCAACTCTCATTAAATTATATATATATATGTCCGAAATTGCTTTCACTACAACACGTATAATATGTACAAGAGGCTGAGTAACTTAATACAAAATTGAAGTTTCTAGTAATAATACAGCGTAAAATCTTGCATTTCTATTAAATCGTTTGAAACTACCTACTACTGGTAATTTGATTGATACATATGAAACTATTAATTATGTCACAAATGTGATAAATTTCTCAGAATAACTGTTAAGTCATTCTATAGCTCTAAAAATTATTGATATAATTAATTTTGTTCTTCCCCATGCACCCCTTTTACCACTGCTAGAAGCTCACTTCCTCTCCTTTCTAAAACACGAAAAATAAAAATAAATGCATATATTTATATAGATTTAAAGTATTTTCCAACGTGTTTGATAAATTAAACAAAAAAAAGTGTAGAAAAGGTTGGTAAATATGAAATTGAAAAAAATATAATGTCCTATATTCATAAACTAATAAATTCATAAAATAATAAAAATAACTGTACTCATAAATAAAAGGCTGATCACATTACCTCCCTTCAAACTCTAAAATTCTCCCCAATTCTTTCCTGATTGAGAGCCTCTGTGCTATACTGAATCAATGAGGGAAGCATGCCGTTTAGTTCCGCAGTTATATTTCCTCATTTCATGTAAATTATACCCATTTAATATATATAGAAGCTTCTCAAGTTTAACTACAGAGAATACTTTATACACTCAATAATTATAGAAGCAGTTCTTCCTTTATAAAGATATTTCTATCATTTTTCAAGCATGATGAAATTTAGAGAACTTTATGGATGCCGAATTATTTGTGTCATGTCTGAAACTACATTCTAAGATTCATGTTAAATATTTCTGAATTATATTTTACGGCATTATAAATACTGCATTTCGTTGTTTATACTCTTGCATTACAGGGAAGTAAACTGATTTGATTACACAAATTCTTTTCTATTTTCTTTTAACAGAAATCAGGGGCTCATCAGCTATTTAGAAATTTCACGAATTTCTAGTACCAGGTGTTAGACATAAATCTAAATGTAAAAGCGTACAATTGCAATGTGTGATAATTCTCTTTATAAAATGCAATCTAGAAACAGTATACAGTGAGACAGACTATTTTCCAATATTCGTTATTTCTAGAAATCTTAGATATATTAACACTTCAAAACATTTTAGTAAAAATCATACTACACCATTCGGTCAAAATGCGTATTAATGTTTCACAGAACTATGAAAAAGCTGATTAGAGTGACATTTATATACAACACTAGTACACTGGCATTTGCATAATCATTACTTAATATGTGTTTAATATGTAAAACAAAATCTTTTAAAAAGCCTCTTTACACGAACCGCGGATTTAATTTTGTAAAATTTAGTAACATTTATTCATGATTTGCTGCTTACGGATGCTATTGAAATGCATTTATAATAGTAACGTGCTTATTTATTATGGCAGTATTAGCAAGATTTTTCATGGATTGCGCACAACTTAGATAATTTCATCAGATGTGGTACTCCCAAATACAACAATTATAATGATGCAACATAAGCAGGGAGTTCAACAGCTAGAGGAACTAAGTGAGAAATGTGTGGACCTGCGAATACTTGACATTTTCAAGAAGAGAAAATTCCTGCAATTGTAATTTTCATTTCATGCCGAGCACTCAGATTCATAAAGGAAAAAAAATAAACTATTTCTTGGTATCGAATGTTCTATTCAATGTATTAAATTGTTTTTTAAACTATTGTTAAAATGAAAAGACTAAAAATGCGTTCACTTTGAGCTCAGAATTCTGTTGCTAAGCTAATGAACTTGGAAAACGACTTGTTAATAATTACAGTATCAAACAAGTACATTGGCTGTTAAAAATATGGTATTTTAGGGTAATTCTCGGATGTTATTTCAAATTTATTCAAATATTTATGAGTAAATCTAAAGCCTGCTGTTTCCTAACCTAGTGTTGTCGAAAGAAGAAGTAGATTATACTTTTCACCGGATTTAAAACTAAGTATTAGAATAACAATCTTTAAAAAAAAAATTTGAGGAATTAAAAAATGTTTTAGAAGTGTACAAAACAGAATTGATGGATATTATTGTATTTAGATTATCTCACTATTTTAACACTTGTTATTAGAATGTATTAATTATCATTTCTTATGCAATGAATTGCACAACGACATTATTTGAGATGTATGATTGCAGCAAAGTCTTAAAAAATTTTGATCTATATTACTATTAAATGACACTTTCAGAAATGAAAGAAAATTTTTCTCTTCGGCGACTAATGGAAAAATACTAACAAGAGAAGATCATGAAAATGAAACTATGAGATTCATTCGGCACAATAGGCAAGAATTGAGTTTTCATAGTTCGTTTGTTTTTCTAATTACTGCCTGCTTGCCAACTTATTAGGAAATGGATAAAGGTATTAATGAATAATTATCAGCTACATTCCACTAGTGCACGCTATAAGCAACTATTTGAAAGCTGCCCTTCCGTAATCCTAAAAGCTTATCTATCATCGTTAAAATACTCAAGGAAATCCTTTATAATATATGCTGACAGTCTAAGATCAAGTTTTAGAAATAAAATATAAATTAGTAAATTTGACGAAAAATATCAATAATATTCTATTAAATATACACTTTTTTCATACTTTATATTTAAATTTTATAAAAATTAAGAAGTTAATGAAAAAAAGAGATTGTACGCAACTTCTCACGAATGCTTTGAGCTATGAACAGTTCTATAAAATAAGTTTCAGGTAACATAATTTCCTTAATTACGCTAACTGTTTTTAACATTTTGAGACAGAGCTTGGTGACTGATTATTAATTCGGTCTTTAAAACAATCATGATGTGTAGAGATCATAAAAATATGCTTGGAGAAATATCGTACTATTTCACCCCAAGTGAGGGGGAGGAGGATGTGGGAAAGGTCCTTGACCACACCCGAACAACCAAGGAGAATACAGATAACTGAGTGCGAAACCCGGTAGTGGGAATGATGGATATAACAAGGGTCCTCTGGTTCCTATTTCGTCTGGCTGGTAGAGCACTTGGTCATCTTTAACCAGAACCTTGACAGCCACTCTTCTTGCTGGTGACATACCAGTTCCCAGCTCTTGCTGGAGCTGTCGCCTTTTTGTCTTGTAACGTCTGTTCTGGAACCAAATCTTGACTTGAGTCTCAGTGAGCTTTAGGGCCTGAGCTAAGTCTGCTCGTTCAGCCCCCGAGAGGTACCGTTGATGACTAAAGCGACGTTCAAGTTCGTAAACTTGTGCGTGAGAAAACGCGGCCCGTGATCGTTTCTTCCGCGGTTTGGATGACGGAGACTGGCCGCCGTAGGACATGCCGTCATCGCTCGGTTTGGATGTAGCGGTAATGCTGGAATCTTCGACGGTAGTCGTCGAAACTGAGTCACCTAAATAAAAATAAGCTCATAATAATAACAAAAGCATGATATAATTATCAGTTGTATAAGCAGAATTTATTGATTTATAAAACATGGACAATTTATAAATATACTAATATACAATTTTCTAACTTTTCCTGTCTTCGCTCCACATATACTAAATAGCTCTACTTTTATAATGAGAAACGCACTATATACTCGTATAAGTAATATGTAAGCAAATAAGATTGATTTTTGAAAAAAAAAAAAAAAAAAAAAGAATGTTTAGTTTTAGTATCATATTATGAATAATCTGTATTGAATAAAGGTTAAATATATCATATAAGTAAAATACATATAATAATGGAAATATTTTTAGAACAATTAATACTTTTTTAAAACTTTTATTTTGCTAATTCATGGTGTCTGTTGCTATGGCAAAAGTTTGCTAGCGATATTTGAATTATATACCAGGGTTGGCCAAACTTCATGTCAGTAAGAGCCACACGTTTGAATTCAGGAATGTTCTAGATCCGCATCTAGATTTTCTAAAAGCCACTAGTTCATATTTACATCATTATAGAAGTAGTGGATGAGGTTTTAAATAGAAAGAAATCCCTGATAAATTTGTAAAAAGAGTCTAAACTAATTAATGACTTCTTTTTGGACACTGAATAGTCTTAGTTTACCATATTTCATACATATATTTTACATGCACGAGCCGCACAAATTGCCTGCGAGAGCCGTATCCGGCTCGCGAGCTGCACTTTGGCCACCTCTGCTATATACTAATAAGCTATCGAACTTATAGGTATTTTTGCTCACACACACATTCTTTGTGGATGACAGTGTAATGTGGTAAAGAAATTGTTTTTAAAATCTGATTTAGATTTTTTTAAAAATTTAATATTGAAACGATTTTTCGCACATATTTTCATTTAATGAACTAGTAATCTAGCAAAAGTCTCCGAATTTTACTACTTGCTTCATCGGAAAGAGAGAAGAAAAATCTTTTAAATATTATTTATGTGAAATTTTAAAAGTAATTTCTGATTTTTTCAGCAAATTTTCTAAAACTCCTCCCTTCTTTCGAATATTTAACACCCATTATTAACTATCTGGATTTTTATGAGCTCGTGGTGTTTATCACTACGGTTAAAACTAGCAATCGCGTATTAAACTATTCCTTGATAAGCTCTCGAGCTCATATTTTATTCAGACAATCATTGTGGATAACAATGCAGTGAAGTGACGATTTAGGTTTTTCAAAACTGCTTTGTTGAAACGAAATTTAGCACATATCTTTGTTAGATATTTAGTACATATCCTAACGAACTAGAACACCTTTTGTAAGTTCTCGAGAGCTATCTTCTTAAATGAAGATGCGTTTGTGAAGGACCTTTTAAGGGAAAAATTGACTGGTATTCACGCTACACATGGAAACAAAACCACAAAAGAATTCATGCAGCAAGCCCGATTCCAACTACTAGTGTTCAGCAAACGTACCTTTTGGCCATTGGTGAGCTTCTGATTAAATGAATCAAAAAGCTGAAATTTCTAAACAGCAAGAGGGAATATAATTACAATAAATTTTAGATTCACACATTTTAAAAACTTCCTACGGAAGAAAGGACTTTCTGCTGCCGAAAACAAACAAACAGAAAAATCTATTACATATGATTTAATTATATAATTATAGTAAAATTTTTAAAAATAAAAATGATACTAATGTAAAAATCCGTAATTATTACAATATAAAAATTAAAAGATAAACAGAGAATGAAAAAGATTACTTTAGCTGATATCACTGGGAGGAAATTACAATGTATTTGAAGGTAGATGTGAGGAATAAATTATTTAAGTGATTTAACAATATGCAAAAGAAAAAGAAACTCAAGTTATTTATATTACTTATTACATTAAGTACTTAAGGACTACTTGTCTTCAAAGAGAATCCGTTTACGACAAATTCTCTTTGAAGGTTCCCTACTGGAAGAGGTTAAAACAATGAATGCTGGTAGTTTCATCTGGGTGCGGATCCAGGCAAATTACTTGGCTACATGGTTGGTTTTTGTGGCTTTTCCGAAGTATGATGGGAATACAAGCCAGTTTCCCTAAGACAATCCTCCACGAAGGCTTCCTATCCTTAAGTCATATAGCCTTTTTATGCTTTGCCATTATCAAATAACCAACCAACTGTCGTAAATGACTTCCTAATGGAAACATTCTCGTAGTCCCGTTACACATTGAAAAAATCACACCTCTTGCAGCCATCTCATTCGGTCAGCGAGAAACAATCTCCGTTGAAGTATCAGAATTCAGTGATCTTATCTTCTTTGCCATTGGCAGAGAAATGTCAGTTTGCTAGTAAATAATAGTAAAGCATACAAAGGCTGTATCTGTAACGGCATGATGCCTTCGTGAAGGATTTTCTATAAAAAACAATTTCCTGTTCAACTCGCACTCAGGGAAAACCGCAAGAATCTCAGTTTAAAGTAATAAAATTTTGACAGCACTGTTTATGATAGTTTGAAAGCAGTATATTCTTGATATTACTTTCATTCTTAGTACTATATGACTCATTGTCTAATTTCCTCTAATAATGTTTAATAGCTATATTTTCAGTTAGGATGGAGTCTGTGAGTTTACATTTTACAGGGCATAATGTCAGTGTAATAAGCACCTATTATTTACCTATGAATGAATTAGCTTACTTCATTACTTCCCTGCAATCAGATTTCTTTAATTTAAAATTTTATTGCATGATTTCCGTTATTTCATGTAAAGGAATTTTAGAAAATATTTTTATTGTGGTATTTTTTCCAGGTGAATTAAAAGAGAAGACTTAAGGACTTGAATTTATTCTCAAGAGTTCTACGGTTTCATAGTACTGCATACACTGTTTTCTAATATTAAATTTCATTGTTTAATTAGTTGTTGACGTTGATTTTCCTTTAAGATAATGAACAGCATTAAATTTAAACCAGGAAACATGATGCTGCCGAAATCAGTGCTTTTATATTGCCCAAGTTACTGCATTTTCTACAATAAGAAATTTCGTTCGTATTCAGTTATTTCATCTTTGCTATAACATGTTTTTCAAAGTCCAAGAACTGTGTGCCTAGAGTACCACAGGTTGCCTGGAGCTCGTTTCAGAAGATCTAACGCGTAAATGGTATATAATGGTATCAAGACATTAAAAAATGATATCTGAAAATGTAATTTCTTTCTTCTTTCATGTAGACTTACTTCTCATTTACTTTTATTTAATTTCCATTCTAAAGCCTGTGGTTGAATGAGATGCATAATCCTAGCTTTTGTCCTTAATAAAAACTAACTGTACAGTACTGAGTGGAATTTCTCTCAGTACTGTAGAGTTAGTTTTTACTTATAGAATAGATACAATTATTGCTTGACGGATTAAACGATCGGATACTTACGGTAGTTTAATATTCCATCAAGATTGGAACATAAAGAAATAACATAAGACATGACAGTCCGCATTTGAGCGTTTTTGAAGGTTTTTGTCAACTAAATAAAGAAAGCTTAAAATCTTGAATTTTGTTGTGGAAAAATTAATGCAACTTTTTTTCGTCTGCTTCTTAGATAAATGGTATTAGAAAAATGCAAAAACCAATAATTTTTGCCAATACTGATAGTATCTCCTCCTCAAATATCCCCAGTATCGCTAAATGATGGTAGTAAATAAGCATCGTTTTGAAAAAATAATTGTGGTAAAAAGTGAAATATTTTTTTTTCAGCGTTTGTATTAAATTACGAACTAAAATTAATGTAAAAAGGTGTCAATAACTAACAAATAGTACTCCTAAGAAATAATTGCAATCGTAAATTTAATTTCTCATCGGTGGCCAAATAGATAAAACCGTTGAATAAAGATTAAAGCCCATTATGCCATTCCTACGTTAAGCAGGTAATACTTGCATCCTTTTCCTCAATCAGACAATCAAACCTAATCAAAACTTAATTAATTATTAATAGTTTAAAATTAGTTTTCATTTAAAGTCAGACACAAAAATAATTGGTACGTATTTTACAGAGATTTCAGCTCTTTATTATTGCTTTATACTTACACAAGTGCATCAAATTACATATAAGGTCTAATGACAAATCCTAAGAAATGGTTAAAATAATATTTTCTTAACGCTGATTAATTAAAAATTTTATTTCTATTATTTTCGTGAAATTCAACACTGCAAACTCCAAGAAACAAAAAACAAAAAAAAAAAAAAAAAAAAAAAAAAAAAAAAAAAAAAATGTAAATAAGATTTGTAATCAAAAACTGTAACTGCATACCATATTTTGCCAACCTTTTGGCACACGGCTCCTTTTTTTTTTTTTTTTTTTTTTTTTTTAAATATTTTTTTATTGCGTTCCCTTTTCCATTGCAACAATGATATATTAGATGTCATCTGGGTGTAATCTGTAGGAATTGGCTGAAAATCACTTATAAATTGTTATTGTACTTGCATCAAATTATTAACTAAAGCCCAGCTCTTCCTGCAGTATGGAAATAAAATGGTAATGGTTGCGTAATTTTCAAACATGTATAATAATATATCTGGAAAACATGCCTGAAATCTGTCACAGCAGGAACAATAGTATATATCATAAATAAAATGCTAATTCCTCGATATATCATAGCTAGTGTGGATTTAGAATAATGTTTTTAGATTTTTCTGCTGATAGTTTGTAAGTTCCGATCTCTTGAAATAGAAAAAATTAAACTGCATGCAACCTAAATCATTTCTGTGAAAACTCGTCTGACATGATTTGGTGTGATGTTTGTGAAAGTAACTACTTGACTATAATATTTATATAATCAAGTGAAAATGCTTAAATGTTTGTTTCAAAAAGGTTTATGCAATCCAATTTTCCAATCATATTCTTACTTCTCTTTAGACTGTCATTAATCTTAGGCATCTCCAATATCTCCTTACTCTCAAATAATATTCTTACTTCACTTGTGGGCCATAAAATCCACATTGGGAAACAGCTTCACATAAAACAAC